ATACCCATCAGAGCAAAGTTTAAAGAGAACAAAAAAAAAAAAAAAAAAAGAAAAAAAAAGAAAAAAGTTAACTTCATTGAAGTTTTTTTTTTTACTTTTATTTAATGAATATAAATTTCCAAAGTACAACTTTTGTATTATAGCGGCTTTCCCCCCATAACCTCCCTCCCACCCACAACCATCCCATCTCCCACTCCCTCTCCCATCCCATTCTTCATTAAGATTCATTTTCAATTATCTTTGTATAAAGAAGATCAACTTAGTGTATACTAAGTAAAGATTTCAACAGTTTGTACCCACACAGAAACACAAAGTATAGAGTACTAGTTGAGTAGTAGTTTTACTGTTAATTCACATAGTACAACACATTAAGGACAGAGATCCTACATGGTGAGTGGGTACACAGTGACTCCTGTGTTGATTTAACAATTGATAACTCTTATCTAGGATGTCAGTAACCATCTGAGGCTCTTGTCATGAGCTGCTAAGGTTATGGAAGCCTCTTGAGTTCACAAACTCCGACCTTATTTAGACAAAGCCATAGTCAAAGTGGAAGCTCTCTCCTTCCTTCAGAGAAAGGTACTTCCTTCTTTGATGGCCTGTTCTTTCTGCTGGGATCTCATTCACAGAAATCTTTCATTTAGGTCATTTTTCTTGCCAGTTTCTTGGCTTTCCATGCCTGAGAAACTCTCATGGGCTTTTTAGGCAGATCCAAATGCCTTAAGGGCTGATTCTGAGGCCAGAGTGCTGTTTAGAACATCTGCCATTCTATGAGTCTGCTGTGTATCCTGCTTCCCACGTTGGATCATTCTTTCCTTTTTAATTCTATCAGTTAGTATTAGCAGACACTAGTCTTGTTTATGTGATCCCTTTGACACTTAATGCTATCATAATGATCAATTATGAACTTAAGCTGATCACTTTGACTAGTAAGATGGCATTGGTACTTGCCACCTTGATGGGATTGAATTGGAATCTCCTGGCATGTTTCTAGCTCTACCATTAGGGGTAAGTCCGATTGAGCATGTGCCAAACTGTACATCTCCTTCCTCTCTTATTCCCACTCTTATATTTAACAGGGATCACTTTTCAGTTAAATTTAAACACCAAAAATAATTGTGTGTTAATTAAAGAGTTCAACCAATGGTATTAAGTAGAACAAAAAAATACTAAAAGGAATAAAATAGTAAGTTGTTCCTCGACAGTCAGGAAAAGGGCTGATCTTAATATTAAATTTAAATAGCATACACCATGTCCTAAAAACGTAGTAAAACAGTTCAATATTCTTCCCTAATTTTGTCTATGTACATGACCCTCATTAAGGTTAAAAGTCTATATGGTAGTAAATAAAATATAAAACACTATTGTGTTTGATTTTTTGTATATACTGTTTTAGACTTTTGAAATAAAAATGTGAGGTAAGGATTAACTTGTGCCCACTTTCTTTGAGAAATCCAGGGTATTAAGCAATATAGTACGTTTTTTTTTTCTTTTTTTTTTTCAACTTTATTATGCATATATAAAATTCCAAAGTACGACTTTATGAATTACGAAATGCCTTCCCCCCCATACCGTTCCTGCCACCCACAACCCTCCCCTTTCCCACTCCCTCTCCCTTTCCATTCACATCAAGATTCATTTTCGATTATCTTAATATACAGAAGATCAGCTTAGTATACATCAAGTATGGATTTCAACAGTTTGCTCCCACACAGAAACATAAAGTGAAAAATAATAGATGATTTTTTTAAATGATGATGAAATCAGAGCAGACCTATTGTCATGTTTAATCCCAGTGAGAGTCAAGTTGGGAATTGATAATTTCTTCTTTTTTTTTTTTTTTTTTTTTACAGAGGATCAGTTTAGTATGCATTGAGTAAGGATTTCAACAGTTTGCACCCCCATAGAAACACAAAGTGAAATATATTGTTTGAGTACTCGTTATAGCATTAAATCTCAATGTACAGCACATTAAGGATAGAGATCCTACATGAGGAGTAAGTGCACAGTGACTCCTGTTGTTGACTTTACCAATTGACACTCCTGTCTATGGCATCAGTAATCTCCCTATGCTCCAATCATGAGTTTCCAAGGCTATGGAAGCCCTCTGAGTTCTCCGACTCTTATCTTGTTTAGACAAGGTCATAGTCAAAGTGGAGGTTAAGTTGCTTCAATAGGTAAATAAGAAATGAGGATTGCCCAAGTCAGCTTTTCACAGGTTACTAGGGACTCATTCCACCTCAAATTATAGCAATGAAAAACATCAAATTAAAATTATCCAGAACATTTATAACATCTTCAAAATACAAATGAAATAAACAGACCAAAAACCCCGGGTAAAATCTGGTATTTGGCATTTGCTTTGCATAATTGTAATTTAGCACACTCAAATTGCTGTCAGATTTAGTAGGAGCAATCAAAGTTTCCCAACATTTGTAGGTTAAAAATGTTTGAATATTCATGAAACAATCTAATTTGTTAAAGAAAAAAGTTAAATTTTTATATCAATCTTCATATCATGAGATCTGAGTTTCTTAGATGACATTCGTTATCCTGTATAATCATTGTGAAGACTGAGAGCAAGGACATGCTCTTGGGCAAGGAGAAAAGAGGAGTATTAAATTATATTTCAACAATGTGAGATTAAAAATTAGAAGAATACACTTCTTTATTGTTTAAAGAGAGGGTTTAAAGCAGCTTATAAAGATGAATCAAATCAAATATATAGTAAATCTAGAAAATGAAAGGTAAAGGGAAAATAGGGTGAGAAAAATCCACTGTTAAGTACTTTTAATTTAGATCAGAACTTAACAAGTTTGCGAAGAGTGGGTCACAAATGTGACATGTGACATTAAACTATTTAGCAGCCGTACATTTGTGTGTGTGTGTGTGTGTGAGAGAGAGAGAGAGAGAGAGAGAGAGAGATTATAAGTTTTAAGCTATAGAGTTTATAAAAGTGAACCGTTTTATAAAAAGATACATGATTATTTTTGATACTGAAATTTGAGGTTTTACTGTAAAACAGTAAAATATTTTTACTGTAAACCAGACATATTTTGCAGGACAATTTCTTAATTTTCATATAGGTTGGTAGCTTGATACCAATGCACACACACACAAAAAAAGCAGTTATAGAAGGAGCAAAGGGCAGATATAATGGGATTTAGATATGTGGCTCTCTGATGATCTAGCTTATTTCAGGGATAAATTTTAAATTATTGAAAGAATGAATAAATTGCATATCCTTTCTGCTATATTGCTAGAATGATGAATTGGGTATCCATTAACTTCATTTCTCTCTACTGAGCTTCTGAAAGCTTTCCATTTAGTGACAAAAGTTTTGAAGTTATATCCTTGACAGGTATCTCGAGTACTTGTATTCCTTATAAAACATGTACACAAGTGTGTGTTTTTAATAGCCAGATTATCTGGAAATAGGGTAAAATTGATTAACATAATAAAAAGTTTGTATGGGGTCTTATCCAAATAAAATGACATGCCAAGATCTCCTGGAAGAGAACAAAAAGAGATCTAATTAGAACAACATTTCTGCTATGGGAAATTTTTACTTAAAAGGATTTTCAAAATAGATAAGCGAGCCATTTTAATAGTAACAAAAGCCAAATCATACATATGCACACATATAAAAAAGCACCTACAGAATATTGAAGCTAAAGCCTTATGTTATATAGCTTTGAAGATGAACTAATGCTAAAATGTACATGTGAATATTTAACTAAAATGACATGGAAAATATAATATAATTCCTTTTTAGCTTTGTTTTTTAAATTTAAAATAATCAGATTTTAAAGATGTTTGATAAAAAGTCTTTTGTCATAATTAACAAATTGTTTGACAGTAAAATATGTGTAGCATTAGTTTTTGGTAATAATAATAATTAGACAAGAAGCAGCTATTACAAAAATATTCCTATTTTGTGAGAATGATCCTAATTCATCTCTACAATATTGTGAAAAATACATAATACACATAAAAGGCAAAGTGGTTGCATCAGACCCCTCACCATGTGAACAGAATATGAGGAAGGAATGAACAAAACATGGTTCTGTATACATTCCTCTTTTACTATAATAGTGGGTTAGTGCTTTTCAACTATTCCATTTTAAAGCAAAAATCTCAGTAATTCACTTTGCTCTGCAGCATTATATTAATTGAATTTGAGAATTCTTTGTTTTGGGAAAAGGAGATAAAGCAAGAGCAAGGTTAAAAAGAATTTACAAGCTACTTTGATTTTCAAGTATAATTTTTGATACCCAGAATAGAAAAAAAAAATAGTCTTGAAGGTGATAATGTCTTTTGCATAAGCTGGAGTTTTAAAGAGTAAAGATTCGTGGTTCTCTAAGCCATAGAAAGGGAAATGTAAAAAATGATTTAAAGAAAATTTCCTAGCATTCAGAAAAGATGATGACGTATGTTTAGGTTGAAGAAAATGAACTGTATGAGAAGAGCCAGAGAGCTGCATTGACTTAGAAGATACAGGTCTCATAGTGGGGCAGAACTTATTTTATCCCAGGAATGCACTCAGACTTACTTGCTTACTAAAGTCCATAATAGGGGAGCCCCCACATCTTAGAGAGCTAATTAATAGGTTTTCAGAGAGAGGAGGTACCAGCCATTGGCAAGGGAGTTCTGTAGCAGAGGAACACCCAAATCAGAGCATAGGTAGAAGATGTAGCTTTATTTCAGAAGGTGGTGCTGCCATCAAAGTGTGAGAAGGTCTGAGCTGTGATATGTGTATTTGAGATCTTGTGTAATGCATGGATAAAAAGTAATCAATAGCATGAATGTTATTGTGCATTTGATTATTGTGAGTAAAAACAGACCATATATTACACCTATTACAACAACTAATTAGCCTGTGCTATGAGGACAGATGCATTTGTCAGCGTAAAGCAATGTATCAGCTATATCATATAAGAAATTTTCTTGTTAATGTGCATCTATTTCTCATCACACTGACCTGTCACAATTTTGTTCAGTTTCAGTATGATCATGTGTAGCCAGAGATCTATAGTGAACTCATGGAGGTTAGGTCTTAACTGATTTCTGTCCACAATGTCAAAGAACAAAGGTAAGTCGATGGGTGTTGCTAACAATCCTGTTACTCACGGCAGTAAGTCTATACATAATTTAAGAGTGATCTTTAGCACAGTGCTCATGTGTAGGGACCAGCTGTTACTTGTATAATCCATTGGTTTGAGAGATTTGCAATTTAACAAAAGCAAGCATTATATTTTATCATTTACTACAATTTCTCATTCTCACTAGGTTCTGAATAGAAATAATATATAAGCACAAATTTCAAAATACACAAAAAGTATAAGGTGAAAAATACTACTTCTACTCTCCTAATTTCTAGCCATCAGGTTTCTTCCTTCAAAGGCAGCTACCATTACTAAATTTGAATCTCTTTCTAATAATTTACCTTTCAAGTAGAACTAATCTGATCTGGTTTCTGGCTCCCTAACTCTGCAGGAAAAAATATCTACCTTGCTTAAGTTGCTAATTCTCTAACTCCCATTGAATTCCAAAATATACTTCTTCCTGGGCCTTTCAATAGCAATCAATCCTGTTGTTTCTTGAGATGCTCAATCCCCTGTTATTAGAGGGCATGTGAAAACTTGAAGGCTTAGTTTAGGGCTTCTTTCTCCCTTGGGTAAAGTCATCCATACCTGAAGACTCATTTACCATCTGACAAAGATGAAATATTTTATTTTATTTTTTAAATTTATTTATTTATTTGAAAGTCAGAGTTACAGAGAGAGAGGAGAGGCAGAGAGAGAGAGAGAGAGAGAGAGAGAGAGAGAGAGAGAGAGAGAGAAAGGTCTTCCATCTGATGGTTCACTCCCTAGATGGCTGCAATGGCCAGAGCTGTGCCAATCCAAAGCCAGGAGCCAGGAGCCAGGAGCCAGGCGCTTCTTCCTGGTCTCCCACATGCAGGCAGGGGCCCAAGGACTTGGAGCATCTTCTGCTGCTTTCCCGGGTCATAGCAGAGTGCTGGACAGGAAGTGGAGCAGCCCGGTCTTGAAATGGCGCCCATATGGGATGCCAGCGCTTCGGGCCAGGGCGTTAACCTACTGCGCTACAGTCCAAGCCTCAAAGATGACATATTTTAAATTCATGCTCAGGTTCATATCCAATTTTTCATGGGTTACCTTCACTAAGGTAGCCTAAAGCCATCTAAAAATGCCAGATAAAAAACTAAACTCATGACTGTCTCCTACAAACTTAATCTTCCATTTGCTATACCTTAATGAATCACAATCCAGGATTATTAAACAATCTTTGATATTTCTTTTTAATCCCCTGCTCTTTTTATTTATTTACTTATTTTAAATATTTTATTTATTTATTTGAGTAGTAGAGTTACAAACAGTGAGAGGGAGAGACAGAGAGGTCTTTCATCTGGCCTGCGCTGCGGCTCAATAGGCTAATCCTCCACCTAGCGGCGCTGGCACACCGGGTTCTAGTCCCGGACCGGGCACCGGATTCTGTCCCGGTTACCCCTCTTCCAGGTCAGCTCTCTGCTGTGCAGTGGAGAATGGCCCAAGTCCTTGGGCCCTGCACCCGCATGGGAGACCAGGAGAAGCACCTGGCTCCTGGCTTTGGATCAGCGTGATGCACCAGCCACAGCACACCAGCCGCGGCGGCCATTGGTGGGTGAACTAACGGCAAAAGGAAGACCTTTCTCTCTCTGTTTCTCTCTCTCTCTCTCACTGTCCACTCTGCCTGTCAAAAAAATAAAATAAATTAAAAAAAAAAGAAAGGTCTTTTATCTGCTGGTTCACTCTCCAAAAGGCTGCAACAGTTAGAGCTGAACTGATCCAAAGCCAGGAGCCACGAGCAAGTACAGGGGCCCAAGTACTTGAGCCGTTTTCCACTGCCTTCCCAGGCCATAGAAGAGAGCTGGATTAGAAGAGGAGCAGTCTGGACATGAACTGGCGTTCATATGGGATGCAGGTGCTGCAGAAGGAGGATTAAACTACTGCACCACAGCGCCACTCCTGGCCTGTCCTTTTTAAATTACATCTAGCTCTACCATTAGGGGTAAGTCCGACTGAGCATGTGCTGAACTGTACATCTCTTCCCTCTCTTATTCCCACTCTTATATTTAACAGGGATCACTTTTCAGTCAAATTTAAACACCTAAGAATAATTGTGTGTTATTTACAGAGTTCAACCAATGGTATTAAGTAGAACAAAAAAATACTAAAAGGAATAAAGTAGTAAGTTGTTCCTTGACAGTCAGGACAAGGGCTGATCAAGTCACTGTTTCTCATAGTGTCCATTTCAGTTCAACAGGTTTCCTTTTAGGTGCTCAGGTAGTTGTCACTGATCAGGGAGAACATATGATATTTGTCCCTTTGGGACTGGCTTGTTTCATTCAGCATGATGTTTTCCAGATTCCTCCATTTTGTTGCAAATGACCGGATTTCATTGTTATTGACTGCTGTATAGTATTCTACAGAGTACATGTCCCATAATTTCTTTATCCAGTCTTCTGTTGATGGGCATTTAGGTTGATTCCAGGTCTTAGCTATTGTGAATTGAGCTGCAATAAACATTGAGGTGCAGGCAGCTCTTTTCTTTGGCAATTTAATTTCCTTTGGGTAAATTCCAAGGAGTAGATTCCAATTCAGTCCCATCAAGGTATATATATATATATATATATATATGAACATATATATTCAAAGTGACACTTTTTGAATTACTAATTTGACTGTTGTTATTCTTACTCCTTAAAAATTGACATATTAGTTTTGTCATTAGAATTGAAGGCAATATCTTAAAAATGGTTTATGGATCTCTACAAATGAATCTATGAATATAGAAACTAAGTGTAGACCAGAACAAGGTGCCTGTTCTGGGGTTTACACTCCTTGGGAGTTTCTCTATTTGAGAGTAGAAATTTTCTTTGTTTCTCACTCACTGATATGTTATTGAATATCATCTGATGTGGGAGACTTCTTCCACTGCTAGCTTTACATTTGGAGCTCTGTGCATTTATCTCACTCCTCAGGGAGAACCAAAAATCTCAGACTCTCAGGTAAGTATTCAGTTGCATTTCCATGATTTTTCAGGGTTGACATATTTACTTGAAAGAAGCAGACTCAGGCTGGCGCCGTGGCCCAATAGGCTAATCCTCCACCTAGCGGCGCCGGCCCCACAGGTTCTAGTCCCGGTCGGGGCACCGGATTCTTTCCCAGTTGCCCCTCTTCCAGGCCAGCTGTCTGCTGTGGCCAGGGAGTGCAGTGGAGGATGGCCCAAGTGCTTGGGCCCTGCACCCCATGGGAGACCAGGAGAAGCACCTGGCTCCTGCCTTCGGATCAGCGCGGTGCGCAGGCCACAGTGCGCCAGCCGTGGCGGCCATTGGAGGGTGAACCAACGGCAAAAGGAAGACCTTTCTTCTCTCTCCTTTCTCTCTGTCTCTCTCTCACTGTCCACTCTGCCTGTCCAAAAAAAAAAAAAAAAAAGAAAGAAGCTGAGGTGAAGCTATATTTGAACACTGTTCTGACTTGGAAAACATCAGGCAGATACATTGCTTTCAGAGGCCATTGCGGTTGGTGACAGGCAGCTTGAAAAATTAAGAGTTGACCCCTTGCACCATCTTACTGTGGAAGTTCTGGGCATAGGCCATGGAGTGGAAAGGGTCACAGTCTGTGGCTACATTCCTGTACACTCACCCAACCTGACTGTGGAGACACAGAACTCCCTGCATTCTGGAGACAGATCTTGCAGAGTGATTGGAGGACACACTGCAGACTGGGTCCGTGCTGTGTATGGTGTGCATGCCTGGGTGGGCCTGGGTGGGTTGGGTGTGTGAGACCGTTAGCTCATACTAGGCTGTGAGTCAGCTGATTCACCTTGGCACAGTGAAGAGCTGGGACTGTGAACATCTTCTCCCCCACTGACTGTAGCCAGAGGTACTCCACCACGTCTGACTTAGGTGTCACTTGGATTCTTGCCCCACCCACAATTGGTGGTCAGAGCTTCTGGCTCCAGCCAGTATGTATGAACCTATATTGTATTTCAATAAAATGTTTACTAAAAATTTCATATAAAGTAAAATACAACCTAAATGGCTTCATTGGTGAATTCTACAAAACACTTAAAGGAAGTAGCACCAAAACCACACAAAACCTTCTGAAAAATTGAAGAGAAGAGACTTTATTCTCACTTATTCCATAAGGTCAAGTTGACAATGATACTTCATTGATTTGGAATGTATTTCAGGAACTCTCAGTAGCTCCACAATAATAATTGTTACCATATACTTTTACCAGAATTATTCCAGTTATAACCATTCTTAAAGATATGGTAGTGCTTAGGATTTCATTTGAATGAAATAGGCTAAATAACTTGTTCTTTTGAGAATTTATAATGGTGAATTGCATCTTCATCATTTCAAATATGGGGTTTCTTTTATTATTCAGAGTGGCTTGAGTATTATAAGTCTTTTAAAAATGTACTCAAATATTTTTTGACTTATGAAAAACCATCATTAAGCCTTATGTGTCATAAAGGTTAACAATATGAGCAAAGTTAAATATACTTTCTGAATTTTGTCAAATAAATTGAAGTTATGATTATTAAAATATTTTTCTTTAATAATTTAGGAAGAGAATAGCCACATAGGTCATTCTCTTTCTTTATTAATAAACAGGATTTTTCTACTTTTTGCCTTTGTTGTGAGTGTGCCTAACTCTCTGCCTTGTCATATCTTCTCACCAGGCTTTCAGGATCAAGAGATTCCAGGCCAAAAGACAAAAACAAAATCACTCCATTCCCCAACAGATTTTCATGAAAACTGATAATAAAATGCAGGTGCAGCTCCAAGAAGGGACATTGCAGAAGAATCATGTTTGGCCTGTAAGAAATTGTACAGGAGATGATATGCTTATCTGTGCTTTATCAAGGTCACCTTCATCTTAACCTTTTCAACCTGAAATGTTACCATCAGCTGTACCACTGCACATGTTTCACTGGAGAGGTGATTTTCTTTTTGTTTCCGTGCCCTGCATTCGTGTGTTGATTTAATACTAAATATGTGAAACATTTTGAAAAATAGCAAAAATGTATATAATTTTGCATGTATCTCTTGGATAGTTCTAAAACATGACTAACAAAAGATGAGTCAGAAAATAGAGACATACTAATACATAACAGAAAATTAATACCTGTTTTAGCAATAGGATTTATTATTCTAATACATGAGTTTAGGAAAGACAGTTATTTCTTGGCGTGATTACTGGATGGAAATATTTTGAAATTTAAATAAAATTTTAATTTAGTATAAACCATTTTAGTATAGGGTTTATATGCTTTCAAAAATAGGCTTTGAGGTCTAACATTCAACTTTTTCCAATGTCATAGTGAGTAAAGATTTGAGGAGCTTTGGTTGTAATCAGAATTGGCAGTTTTAAAATGAAGTAATGACCTCAGAAGGCCTTTCTTGACCATTTTTCCCAGCACATAACTTCTCCAACAGATAGAGCTCCTTTTGAAGGGTAAGCATCATATTTAGAATGGATCAAAGTATGTCAATTATTGTAATTAATCTGATTATTTTTAAGAGAAGCAAGAGTGACATTTCAATTCTTTGTTATGGTTAGGCTTTATAAATCAAATCTAAAAAGCACTTGAATCTTTTCTAGAAGAAATGTTTATATATGTATGCACAAATATACAAATGTAACACTAGTGTTAGTGTACGTATTTGAGTTTATATGTGTTGGTTGTATTCAAAGTACAAGATAAATGTACAGTTTAAAGTTTAAAACTGAATTTCTATAAACTATTTTTTTCTTCATTTCACACTTTTTTCCATTTTTTAAAAAGTTTTTATTTTAATTTTTAGTCTTTAACATATTTAATGTGATTTATAGATACAATTCTAAGAACATAATGATATTTCATATCTCCATCTCTCCCTCCCCTGTCTCTCTCAAACATAAAAATTTCATAAGTTAAAATAATTTTTCTCTAGAAGAAAATTTTATGCTGTTAGTATTATTTGTAACTTGTGTTTCTTTGGTTGAACAATTAATTCAAATTTTTAAAAAGAATTTTTAAGAAAAGAAGTAAAAGATACAGAAACAAAACTCTTCAGAATGGGAAAGCCATGCTATTTCAAAACAATTAATACTTTCAAAAGCACAAATTGATTTCTTTTAAAGAAAATCATTAAAGTGGTGATAAATGGATGTGCTAAAATTACAGAGTAAGTCTACCCATCCATCACATATATTGCTACAATTTCAACAAGAAGAAAAATCTCTAAATGCAATTCAGTACATAAAGTGGAGTGAAAACTATTTAAAATTAATGATATATGTAGAAAAACTATAAAGCACTGCTATGCAATTGTGAAGAAAAATACAATTTGTAAAATCCATATTTGACTATCATGATTCTATTTGGTAAATTACAATAGGCAAATCAAGACTATGTGTTACTTCTCTCTGTTACACTTTCTCTGCCTTTCAAATAAAACTAAAATAAGACACTCTAAAGTTCCTTGTGGCACCATATTCTTTATAAAATTCTCAATTACTAGAAATTAAATAAAAATGGCTTTCTAATTTTATTGTTTGTCTTTTTGCCTATCTTTTTAAGAATAACACACAAAAATTTTATTTATTGATGGTGTACAACATGAAGTTTTGATATATGAATAAGTTTTGGAGTGGTTAAATCAAACGGAATAATGTATGAATATCTTTTTATAATTACTTTTTCTGTTGAGAACGTTTCAAATCTACCCTCTTAGCAATTTTGAAGTATATAATATGTTGTTTGAAACTACAGCTACCTCGTTGTACACTAGACCTCTTGAAATTATTTATTTCTCATAGTGGAAATTTGTCTCCTTTGGACGAGAATATCTCCAATACCCTTTCAGCCCCTGCTAGTCACTCTGCTGACTACTTCACTGAGATTACTCCTTATATTCAACATACAAGAGTGATTGCACAATAACTCTATTGGTTTATTTCACTTAATATAATAACCCCTAATTTCAAATTTCATCCTTATTGTAAATGACAGAATATTCTTTTTTAAGGCTGGATAATATTTCATTTTCTTTATCTGCTCATCCATTCATGGGTACTTAGAGGGATTCCATTTTTGGCTGTTGTGAAAAATATGCAGTAAACAAGGATGTGCAGGTATGTCTTCAATATAATGATTTCAGTTTCTTTGGATATATATCCAGCAGTGAGATTACTGGCTCATACGGTCCATACTGTCAGATCTAGCTGATATTAAAAGCTTTTGCAAATACAGTGGCTCATTGAGCAGAGGCATTAATTACTGAATGTATCCCTTGCAAAATATGAGTAGAACCTTCCAATGCCTACCTATTTCTTACTCCAGAACATACAGAACGAGCTTCTATACTGTTTTTACAATTTATAAGTGTTCACAATTCTATTCATTCTCACTGTTTGTTATCATTTGTATTTTTGATAGTAGCTTTTCTAATAGATGTGGCATGATATCTCATTGTGGTTTTTAACTTCATTTCTTCTAATTAGTGATGACGAACATTTTTTCATATACCTGTTCGTAATTTGTACATCTTCTTTTGATACCACATGATCTCACTCAAATGGATACTCTAAAAAATGCTGACAGATGTAGAGAGTAGAATGTTGATTACCAGAGGTTTGGCGGTTAGGCAAGAGAGAAGGATGTAGAGATGACACTCACAATTTACATGATGACACACAATGACATTCAAATTAAAGAAAGACTGAGAAAGGAAGGAGTATGGAGGGCGGGAGCATGGGTGGGAGAGAGAATAGAGTGGGAAATATCATTATGCTCCCAAATCTGTGTATATGAAATACATGTAATTTGTTGACCTTATATAAATAAATATTTTTAAGAAAGATTTATAGAATTACACTTATATAGAAAGAATAAACTTTAAGGGATCTATTGCAAAGCAAAATGACTATAGCTTATCATTATGTGTGGTATTCTTAAAAAACATAAAAATAATGGGTATTATGTGCTCTCAGTATAAAAATGGTAACTATAGGAGGTAATGCATTTGTTAATTAATTAGATGTAATCACTCCATAATGTGAAAACATTATGTCATACATGATAAAAACTTACAATGCTATTGCTTTCAATCAGAAAGGAAAAGAAAGGCAGCCTTTCAATGGCAGGTTGGTAATACCAGCTAGATGATGAAAGCTTCCAAAGAGGCAGTTTGTATGTCAAGTGGATCAACATAGATTAATTATATTTTGGAAAATGCGGTAAATAAAGTATTAGATTAACAAATATGAGTGCAACAGTTTGAAAACAAAAAAGTTTATTTTAATGGCCATGTCAGCAGACTTCATTAACAAAATGCACATTTAATTATGTACGTTGAACACAAAATGGAGATATAGCAAAACTCATTACTAGTCTACAGATGTTTTGTGTAATTTTTAAAACTGTACACAGAGATTGATACTGCTCCTTTGTATATAAACCATCTGTCATATTTTATTAAGACATCTGTCAATTCTTGTAGAAAAATAAGTGAAAACCGAATGGATTTAACCTAAATGCAAGTTATAGAAATTGAATTTATAGTTACACAAATAAAATAAAATATATATTTTTTTCTCTACTGGCAATGTATCTGAGAAACAGCAAAAGAAAAAATAAATTTTCTGCCTGTAATACATTTCTTATTTTTTATCTTACCAAATCTTTCTTTGCTCTGATCCTGGCATACTCTTAACTCATCTGCATCTATTATATTATCTCTGCAGAATCAAAGGTACTGATTATTAATCTGTTCTGAAATTTTAATACTACTCAGCTAGCTGGTAACTCCAAAAGCTTGGAAGATCTACCTTGCAAATATAGTCCTCATTGAGCAGAAGCATTAATTACTATATTCACTGCTTAAAGAAGAATAAGCTGGTAGACTTTCACTAACCTAGGCTGATCTCTTTCCCACACTAATCTCTGATGTGGTCTCAGCAGCTAGTTCTTATGATTTCATGCATTTGTTGGATTCTGAGCTGTCCAGTGGACTCCTCTCCACAATATCCTGGAAGTAATTGTTCTTCGGACTTCAGACTTCTGCTCATCCAGCAGATAGTCAAATCCAAGTCTTACAGTCAGGTCTTAATCATTATCTCTGACCTAACGGCCTCTTGGATGGTTGATGAGGTTTTCTGGGATCTAGTGCCTTTCTCAGACCTCTCTGGTGATGCTGTGTAGTTAAAATCTTCTTTGACAACCATGCCAACTGTAACTGTTTGTGAAACTGAAGGTTGATTTATGTTTTCTCTTTCTTAGCTCTCTAATTCTGTCATTTCTACATTATTCCAAGAATACTAGTGGAAAGCATTGTGCCTTATATTGGCATCATACTTGGCATAGTGCCTTCTTAGAGTAGCTTGACATTTTCCTAATCAATGCTACAGAATATGGAAACAAACTCCTCCAGTCCAGAGTTGTTCTAAACATATTCCCCCTTTTTCTTAATTTTATCTCTCATCACTTTTCCAGTTTCAGCTTAGAGTGGTAAGAATGAGTATATGTGTTGCACATCCTATCATCCCCGTCTGTCTTCTTCTCCTGAGTCCACAGGAAATCAAGGGTGAGTTTTAATGTTGAGATATGTTTTCATTCTCCTTCTTTACATTCCTCAAGGTAGAAATAAGCTGGTTTATCAGAAGGAGGGGGAGAAAGTAGGAGGAAGAGGTAGAGGAGGAAAGGGAAGAGAAGGAAAAGGAGAAGAGAGAGGAAGAAGAGAAGAAGAAGGAGGAGAAAGGGAATGGGAGAAGATATTTCTGAGGACATATTTGAAAATTTGACCCTTGTTGAAATATAATTATTTTAAAAATCTATTTGACCATTTTGTTGACCTTTCTCCTTACTAAACATTCCTTTTCAAAAAGGCCACATTTGACTGCTCACTTCTATAAAATCAGCACCAGCAAAGCCAGGCACATGGTTAGTTCTTAAAAAAACAATTAATTCAGTGAATGTGTGAAGTAAAAGTGTAAGATAAATTACAAAATAGCCGCATGGCCACCGAAATGACTCCCCTTGATTCCTGCTTCTTGTATGAGATCATTACCAGCCCCAGGTGTGGGCTGGCTCTTTTAGCAGGTATCTAACAATGAGAATCTGACAAACAATGATGAGATATGACTTCCAATATTAGGTTGCAAAGTCTGTAGCTTTCTCGCCATCTCTCTTTGTCAGTCTGTTTCTGTATCTGTCTCTGTCTCTCAACTCTCACTCTAGGGGAGAGAAGCTATAGTTTGTGAGTAGCCCTGTGGAGAAGCTCAGTGATAAGGATCTAAGGTCTCTGGCTAAGGGCCAGTGAAGACTGACACCTGCCAACAGCCCTGTGAATGGGCTTGGGAGTGGATCCTCCTTCCTTCCAGTGTGGAATTTTATGTACTGGGTGGCAACTGTTGGTACCTCTACGAGACTGATTCTGAGGGCTCAGCTAAGCTGTACCCTAATGCTGGTTCCC